TATGTGTTAGACAGACTGACAGTCTCACTGGCTTACCTGTTGGAAAGTCTGACAGTCCACAGGTTTATGTTTTGGAAAGACTGACTGTTCACTGGCCTACGTGTTGGACAGACTGACAGTCCACTGGCATACGTGTTGGACAGACTGACAATCCTACTGGCATACCTGTTGGAAAGACTGATAGTCCACTGGTCTATGTGTTGGACAGACTGACAGTCCACTGGTCTACATTTTGGACAGACTGACATTCCACTGGTCTATGTGTTGGACAGACTGACTGTCCACTGGTCTACAAAGTGCAGCATGGAGATGCCTGTGAACACAACACTTGGAAAAGTACTTGTACTTGAACGCACCATAAATATGGAGTCCAGCTGTGTTTGATGCTGCTGGGCAGACTGAACTCTGGGAACCTCTGAGCTCTGCTGGTCCACTCTGTGGAGGAATCATGAAGAATTAGCTCCCCTTCTGTTTGTCCACACAGAGACAAACACCAGCTAAAGGTCCATGTGGAGTCAGGATCCAGAAACTATTTGTCCTCCTCCATCCAGCAACACCTGCCATCTGATTGGAAGTTCCTACCTACACTGTGTTTGAAGCAAAGGTCAAAGGTGACACCTGCTGGACCACCTGGTGACCTACAGACACTCAGAAACTCCTCCTACAACATCCATTCTTTTTCTTTGACTGCTGAGTTTGGAGAAAACATCCAACACACACCGCTTCACATGTGAACATAGAAATGTGTGAAAAAGAGCTGAGCTCACATGAAACACATGTTGGAATGAAAACATTTCAGACTGACTCAGTTACATTTTACACAGTTACAACATTTAGAGACAGCTCACCTCTCTGCTGATGGAGGCTGGACTGATTTAAAATCAGTAAGATCACCCTTTGACCTGTCGCTCTTTAAGGACACACAGCTGGGTTCAGGTCCAGCTTTGAGTCTCTGATGGATCCTGTTAAAAAATTACATTTAATGATTGAGTCATGGTGATTGGTGTCAGATCCTGAGTCTGGATCCTGGAACATTCTGGATGAAAGTGACAGGATTATTTGTTCTCAGGTATTGATCCTGAAATGATCCTTTCCAGCTGCAGGACAACACATCTGTAATTCTACAGTCCATCTTCTCCAGTTCTCCTCCTCTTCCTGCAGCAGACATGTTCTTCTTGAACTGGATTAAAGTGGATGAGTGTGTAGTTGAGTAATCCAGATTATTGTCAGCAGCAGAGCAGAGAGCTGCAGCCTCCTCTGTGTTTGTTAGAGACTGAGAGAGGAGAAGGTGGACTCAGAATCACAGCCTGAACTCTCTGTTTCTGGAAGTTCTCTGAAACTACACAACAAGCTGAACACAGCAGCCTTTCTTTGTGTCAGCTGCTGGAAAAACCTGAACCTCCACTCAGAGACCAGAACCAAGGAGGGTTTAGACCAGATCTGTTAGCTCGGACTCTGTCCCAGAATGAAGGAGACGTGGAAATCAGCTGGAAACCATTCAGACTTTAAACCAGTTACAGGAGACAGGACTGGTACCAAAAACTAGTAAAACTAGTAAAAAGTCCAGATTGTTGCTGATGTTCTGGAAACTTAGAGTGAAACTGGTTGTGATGGGAGTTCTGGTTCTGTCTCTGTCAGTCAGAGTTTTAGAGGAGGGTCTTGGTTTTTCCACTGGAGAGTTGATCCTGGATGTTTGTAACTGTCAGTCTGAGACAGCTGAGAGTTTCTGTTACCATGGAGACGGTAATGAGCTCCAACTTCAGCTGATGTTCATCATTTCATCTAAAATCATCTGATGGATCATCTGAACATGAGAAGAATAAAAAGCAGAGCTGAAGGCTCAGTTTGGTTCTGGTTCCTGCTGGATTCTGTCATCAGCAGCTTTGTTCACGACACAATCAGCATCCTTTAAAACTCACATGATGTGACATTTATTCTCTTTGTTCAACAAGAGTTTGAAACAAGTTACAGACAGAAAGCAGCAACTTAGTCTCAGAGAAATGAAATAAAAATCAACTCAAAGTCGTTCAACAGAAAACAATTATCTTTAATATCATCCAGCCTCGACTGGACTCTGAGAGAAACTTACTGGTTGTTGGAGGAAACTCTTTGTTTGAAATCAATAGGAATATCCTTTGACCAGTCGCTCTTAAAGGACACACAGCTGGGTCCAGGTCCAGGTCCAGGTCCAGGTCCAGGTCCAGGTCCAGATCCAGGTTCAGGTCCAGGTCCAGGATAAGGTCTAGGTCCAGGTTCAGGTTCAGGTTCAAATTCAGCTTTGGGTGTCTGATTGATTCTGATATTAAAAATAATTGAATCAGACTCACATGTGTCAAATGAAATAAACACTTTTCAATAAATGATATGGACTTACTGTATTTTAACAGCTTGTTTTTTTAAAAGAGGGTGATTCTGTAACAAACTGCACAGTTCAAGTTCAGTTTAACTCATTCTATTATTTAGTTTTACTGCCTGCTAATTCAAAAACTTTAGTTTTCTTAGTTTAAACAGTTTTATAATGGCCATTCTCCGATGGGATATTTGTTATACAAAAACCCTTAAAATACAATTAAAATTTAGAAACAGAAGAAAATACAAACTATAATAACAACATAACATAAAATAACATAAACAAAATACACCACCACCATGTGAAAATAAAATAAAACCTAAGAATAATTTTTGACACCAAAGATCAAAGATTTGTTTAATGAGTGAGTGCTGAGCTCTGACATGGAGAAGAGTCGTGGACAGTTGGAGATGTCACCTCTGATCTTTGCTCTGGCTCTCATGTTCCCCACACAGAGTGGTTTTAGAGGGAGGGACTCCCTCCTCTCTGTCCTCACACTGATCCATGCTGCTGAATTCACATCAGCTCACACACACTTTCTACCTTCACCTGCAGAGGAAACACAAATCATTCATGTGAACATCAACTCTGATCTTCTCCTGATCAAACTGTTTCCTGCTGCAGAAAGGAGGAAGTCTAAAGACTAAAGTGAAGCAGAATGAACTCTGATTTATTTCACAACCATCAAACTGTTCTAGTGGATTATCTGCTCCATCTGAACTTCACACAACTGAAATCAAACACATCTGAACTAAAATTAGTGTCATTTTATTTTGAAAGGACTGACAGGAAGCAGCAGGAAGCTGTTGAGTGTGATGTTAGAACATGATGCAGTTTGTTTAGTGAAGAAAACAAACATCTGTTCATCATGTTGTTTGATTCCAGCTCATCAATAATCTAATAATCCTGTAGATTAGTCTCCAAACATCAGAGAACAGAAACAAACAGGAAAACGTTCCTGAAGACAAAGTTCAAGAAGAAACTAAACAAACAAAGTTTGTTCAAACAGTCCAAAGAGATGAAGACGAACTGTCTCCATTCAACATGGAGAGTCTTCACTGTTGTCACAGACATGAACCGTCTCTTATCGTTCAAATAAATGAAGCACATGAACTGATCTGTTTTCAAACATCATCATCAATGGGATTAACTGAGGAGACATTTAGGAGCTGGTTATTTTCAGTGAGCCAGAAGAAGTTGGAACATCTGTCACTAGAATGGACCGGACCTTCTTTAATGATGGTTTGTCTCTCCCTGATGGTGAAGTTAAACACTGCTTGATGTCAGTTTTAGAGGACAGGAAGTGTTTTTAAATGATTCAAACACTTCTGTGTGCTGTAAACCACACTGATACCAAGAGGGACGTGTTCAACTATCCTGATGTTCAATAAGTATTGAGCAATGTGATGCCCGGGTGTGACAAGGCTAAATGTTTTGGCGGCACGAAGCTCGTTAGCCTGTCAATTTTTATTTTTTTTTAATCCATAAAAAAGCTGCAGCATTGTATAAGCCGCGGTGCCTGTGAAAAAAGTTGCAGCTTATAGTCCAGAAATTACGGTAGTTTGTTTTTCCAGCTGCAGCTTAAATGCTGTGTGTCTGTCAGAATGTCAGAGAAAAGACCCAGCAATAATTTTACCAACAAGGAAGAAGATCAAAGCAAAAAGTAGTTAATTCTCATAAATCTTCAAGTTTGGAGATTTAAAGATCTTTCATCTTCTGTCCAAAGATTGTCTCCATGTTTATCTGAGACGGAGCAGAGAGCAACGTGACAGCCTGTTATCATGGAGGAACCAAGAATTAATAAATTAGAAAAACAGTTTTAGTCTGCAGAGTGATTAGATCACTGTGATCAATGAAACTCCACAACCTCTGAGGAGAATCTGTTTTTATTGGAGGCACCGAGGTGCCGTCCTGCAGGCTGTGCTCAGCAACTCTGACCCAAAACTGTTCACATCACACAATCTGATGTCAATCTGATTCACTGACACAAAACTGTTAACATCACAGAATCTGATGTCAATCTGATTCACTGACCCAAAACTGTTCACATCACACAATCTGATGTCAATCTGATTCACTGACACAAAACTGTTCACATCACACAATCTGATGTCAATCTGATTCACTGACACACAAACTGTTCACATCACACAATCTGATGTCAATCTGATTCACTGACCCAAAACTGTTCACATCACACAATCTGATGTCAATCTGATTCACTGACACAAAACTGTTCACATCACAGAATCTGATGTCAATCTGATTCACTGACACAAAACTGTTCACATCACAGAATCTGATGTCACTCTGATTCACTGACACAAAACTGTTCACATCACAGAATCTGATGTCAATCTGATTCACTGACATAAAACTGTTCACATCACACAATCTGATGTCAATCTGATTCACTGACA